GTGGCATCGATCATGCGATCGATGTTAGGCAGCGGAAAAGAATCTTTGGGGCACGCCTTGTTTAAATCCTTATAATCTACACACATTCTAAGTTTTTTCCTTTATTTAGGGAATACAACTACATTGGCTAACCATTCGGGATATTTCACTTCCCGAATGANGGATATTTCACCTCCCGAATGGATCCTATTTTGAGAAGTTTAGTTACCTCATCCTTTATGAATGTGTGTTATACTTCGGACTGGGGTTTTCTATTTTGCTTCACCGGTTTGAATCTAGGGTCCAGGCTTAGCCGATGCGTCGTTACCTACGGTGGAATCCCTGTCATGTATAAATGGGACTATGCAAAATAATCTATGTTATCAATAAGAAATTGAATAAGTTTTTTCCTGAGTTCGGGGGTTAATCCCGTTCCCAGGTATACCTTTCGTTCGGGCAGGTACTCGATCAATATAACCTGTTCCAACTCTTCGACCGTTGATTCGGTGGCGTCAGAATCTTCGGAAACAATAAAAGTTCGAGGGGTCAGAAAATCCTCCTCTTCTTCTTCTACCTCCTGCTTCCTTGATTCGGTCGAAGCTGGTGGTTGTGATTGCTATTTGACTTCCTGTTTACCTTCGATGTTCGACCTTTCCGAGGTTGACAGTGTTGATATCGGTGTTACCTCATCAACTACAAACATTTCCTTTGCAACATGCTGCTCCCCGTTTACTGTTTTTATACCGTCCGACGTTGGGAATTTCATCATCTGGTGGAGAGTCGAAGGGACTGCCCTCATATTGTGGATCCAAGGCCTTCCGAGCAGGGCATTGTACCTCATGTCACCCTTGATTACGTGGAACTTGGTAGCTTGAATGGTTCCAGCCACGTTCACCGGTAGAGTAATCTCCCCTTTAGTTGTTTCACTGGCCATATTGAAGCCGTTTAAGACCCAAGCAGCGGGCACGATTTGATTTTGTAGGCCGAGCTGCTCCACGACCCTTGATCGGATGATATTCGCCGAGCTACCTGGATCCACTTAAACACACTTAACTTGAACTTTATTTAATAAGAGAGAAATTACCAGAGCGTCGTTGTGGGGCTGAGAAATGCCTTGTGCTTCTTCGTTGTTGAACGATAAAGTGCCTTCGGGCACATAATCTCGGGCTCGTTTTTCCATAGTGATTGATACCTTAGTGCGTTTGAATATGGGTCCCTGTGGAGTGTCGACCCCACCGACGATCATATGAATGACATGTTGGGGTTCCTCCTGTTCATTTTTCCTGTTGGCGTCTCTTTCTCTGAAATGATTCTTGGCTCGATCGCTGAGGAACTCTCGAAGGTGGCCCTCATTGAATAGACGAGCTACCTCCTCCTTTAATTGCCTACAATCTTTGGTCTTGTGACCATGCGTGCCATGATACTTGCACATCAAATTTGGTTTTTTTTGGGAAGGATCAGGTTGTATGGGTCTGGGCCACCTAGTATCTTTGATCCTTCCGATTGCCGACACAATGTCCGATGCATCGATGCTAAAGTTATATTCCGATAACCGAGGTGCTTCTGTGGGATCGGCATACTTGTCAAAACCACTTTTGCTCATAAGTCCCCGAGAATTCTGTCCTCGATCACTTCTTCGATTGTTCCGGGTGGAATTGTGTCCTGAACCATTGTTCCTTCGATCCACGGTATATGGTTGATATCGGTCTCTGTTCGACCTTGACTCCCTGTCGACGTCCCTCTGGTTTTTAACTACCGACCTGTTTGGATGTACTGAACCGGAAGATCGATCAAATTTTGTTTCAGCCGACGTGACGCTACCGAACTCCGCTCGTTCAACCCTTGGGTGAAAGCTTGAACGGCCCAATCATCTGTGACCGGTGGCAATTCCATGCGTTCCATTTGAAATCGGGAGACGAATTCTCTCAGCATTTCATTATCCCTTTGTCTTACCTTGAAAAAAGGTCCGATTTTCTCGTTGCGACCTTTATCGCTCCTGCGTGTGCCTTTACGAAAGAGTCCGCTAACATGGCGAATGAGTCGATGGAGTTTGGTGGTAGGTTGTGATACCAAATCATTGCTCCCTTCGAAAGGGTCTCTCCGATTTTTTTCAACATCACAGATTCGATTTCATCGTCTTCTAAATCGTTACCCTTGATGGCACATGTGTAAGAGGTGACGTGTTCGTTGGGGTCGGTCGTTCCATTATATTTAGGAATCTCGGGCATGCGGAATATTTTGGGGATCGGTTTTGGAGTTGCACTTGGTGGAAAAGGCTTTTACACGAATTTTTTGGAATCCAACCCTTTCAACACTGGTGGTGCCCCGGGATCTGATCGACCCTGGAGTTATATGTTTTCACTTTTTTATCGTTTGCTTCAATCCGTTTTGTGAGTTCCTAGAGTATCTTAGCAATTTCGGAATTAGTCCCCGATTCTTGCTCATTTGATCTTATTATTGTTGGCTCTGTTCTGCGGGTGATTTCTCGGGGTAGACTGGGCTCCGGCCTGCTCGGTACCTGGGTTTGACTCTGCAACTGAGCTATCGCTACCTGTTGAGCTTGCAACATTTCGAAAATCATATGCAAGCTGATTCCGTTTTCCTCAACGTTATAGGTTTCTCGAGCTGCAGATCGAGTACCACCATGAATGCTATTTTCAGGTTCAGAACGTAGGTTTGCCTCAATGGCCACATGCGAATTAACGTCTAATGGCACTTCGACTCGAGCTCCAACGGCGTCGACAAGTGGCCTTTCGGCCCTGGGCGTCAAGTTGTTGTTCTCACCTTGAAGGCCAGCTTCGTTGTCGATAGGTAAGGCCATTTAATTGAGAGCTCGTTGTTGCTAATCCGAAATCAAAGACACTTCCGAAAACAAGCGTAAAATGGTGTGTTTTGCAGATTCGTATCAAATAATCACTATTATCCTTAGCCCCACGATGGGCTCCAAACTGTTTACCCGAAAAACGGATAGAGTTGAATTTGTACGTAGTTCTAAGGGTTTGTGGTATAACTTAATACGGGGTCAGATTAAATACCGAGCTCGACGTCATTATCGAGCTCGAGTCCAAATCGAGCTATGATAAGAAGCGATGGTATCAAGCTTCAGAACCAAAGACCAACCGACACCGAGCCCGAATCAATCTTTGGTTCGAGGGGGCCTAACATGAAAGGGTAGGTATACACATTTAAAAACCCTTTCACATGAGTAGTAATATCTTCCTCGGGAGTCGGGATTACCACTTTTGTTCTCCCAGTTGCAATCTTTCCTTATCTGTTCGAGATGCCCCTCGGTTATCGAGCACATATACCTCGATACTGGCTCGCATCGACCGGGAACCGACGAGCCTTTGTTGATCTTAAAATCGGAGGTAAGAACACACGCCCCGGTAACACACTCCTCAGGCTGTGGCTCCACCGGTGTTTTGTCGGCAGCAGGCTGTGAAGTAGAAGCTTTTTCTTTTTGAGGAACGGTTTTAGATGTTTTCGCCATTTTGGATTTAGAAATCGAAAATAGAAGGAGATGACAAAGATATGGTGTTTTAAAGAAAGATTTTGCAGTGAAAATCACAGAAGAAAGATTTTTGCAATAAAAATCACAGACCTACAGATGAACTCAAAAGATACGAAAAAGAGCTTAGAAAAATATGGAGGTTGGAGGCGTAAAAGTGATAAATGGTAAAAAAAAAAGGGGCTACTTATAGATTGAGCAACGACGGTTCAATATCAGCGGTGGCCGACCACCGTCTGACACGCATTTAATGCCTTGGTACTGAACAAACGAGATAGCTATCACGTACGTCATGGCCGGGCTCGATGCAAACGTCAGTGTATATCCAATCGAGCCGTTGGGAAATCATATCGTTTAATGCCACATCCTTCCCGAGAAACGAGGGGACTATCTGTATACGGTCAAAACCGTTTTCGACCTTCGTACGATTGGTGAAGATGGACCGAAGAGCATCTTCATAATATCGAGGTGAGATTTGAAGAAGACACGAACGAGCTTCGAGTTTCGGGGTCAGATTAAATACCGAGCTCGACGTCATTATCGAATTCGAGTCCAAATCGAGCTATGATAAGAAGCGATGGTATCAAGCTTCAGAACCAAAGACCAACCGACACCGAGCCCGAATCAATACCGGGCCCCGAGTCAGCATCGAGCTCAAGCCCGCATCGAGCTCTAAACCTGGAAACCGACCAATACCGAGTCCAATCAAGATCGAGCCAAGAGACAAGAGCCGTTAAAGTAGCACTAAGAGAGAGAATCTCGGCGGAAATTAGGGAAAAACTGATTTATCATGGGTTCCCCACTATGTATTTTTTACTATATCTATATAAGAGGGATGACTATTATTTTTGTAAAGTATCAGGTCATTAGTGCATTGTAACTCAAATACTGTTGATACACTCCCATATTAAGAGATTATCCTTTTGAGCCTTATACATTGATTCATCTTGTTTATTCATAAATCTTTCCCTTTTTAACTTCGTTTGTATTTCAACATTTCTACTTACTCTTACGATTTGTGTCAAGTTATACCACATACCCTTAAAACTACGTACAAATTCAACTCTATCCGTTTTTCGGGTAAACATCCGGTGAAGTTCATAATGGGCGAGGACTAAATCAAGAACGCGAGCTTCAAAGACCAGGTGACACTCGTTGGGGATCACATTTCAAAACATTAGATAATTTTATTGTTATTTTCTCATCTATTGTTCGTGTGCTTGAAGTGATTAAATATGAAGGTTCTAGCTCAAATGAGAGAAATCAAGCAAAATATCTTTTGAGTGAGATGACAACATTCAAATTTATTTTTATGCTTCACTTGATGTTGAAGTTTTGGCAATGTCAATTGAGTTGAACAAGATCCTACAAAAGAGGGATCAAGATATTGTTAATACCGTGGAGTTTCTTAACATCACAAAGAAAAGATTGCAAGAAATGAGAGAAAGTGGATGGGAATATTTACTAGATGATGTTTCCTCATTTTGTGTTATGTGATATTTTGATTCCCAAGATGGATGAATCTTATTTTCCTGGAAAGTCGAAGCGCAAGTCTTCCGGTGTTTGTTATTCACACTACTTGCGTGTTGATATCTTTTATGTTGTAATTGATGTGCTACTTCAAGAGCTTAATGACCGTTTTGATGCAGTGAGTAGCGATTTGCTTCTCGGGATGGCTAGCTTGAATCCAGCCAATTCTTTTGCTAATTTTGATAAAGGTAGAATAATGATTTTAGCAAAATGTTACCCAAATGAGTTTGATGAGGTTCAGATTCGAGACTTGAGTTATCAACTTGATACTTTTATAGTTCATATGCGAGCTGGTAATCCCAAGTTCTCCAACTTACAAGGAATTAGTGATTTGGCAAAAGCATTGGTTGAGGCAAATCTTGTGGAGACTTATTCGTATGTTTATTTACTTGTGAAGTTGACTCTGATTTTACCTGTTGCTACCGCAACTGTGGAGAGAGCATTCTTATCCATGAAGCAGATAAAGAATAAAGAACGGAATAGCATGGGTGACCAATATTTAAATGATTATTTAGTTTGTTACATAGAGCATGATGTATTCACAAATGTAAGTAATGATGTCATTATGGATTGTTTTTAAAATCTGAAAACTCGTTGAGGACAATTGTAAATAGATGATGTATATTTATAATATTAATATTATTGTTGGAAGTTTTATGGTTGCGTCAATTAGTTATAGTTATTATACTTTTTTCGTTTGATCGTTTGTCTATATAAATAAAAAAGATGAATAACCCGAACTGACGCCCGAGTTGATCAAATCGATTAGCTTGGCACCCGAAACCTCCAAATCCTGGATCCGTCCCTGCCTACTGTACTAATCTTTCTGGATACAGGGTTTTCTTTAATAAGACTGTAATAAGGTGGTGCATGTGAGTCAATGTGCACTTAGCAAATTGCACATCAATGAGTTAAAGAACAACTACTAATGTCATTTAGTTTACTGGAACGCAACAGCAGCTGCTCAGTGTTTTCTGGGCACGCATATAGAGCTTAGTAGGCTTTAGCACTTCCAGTGGAGTAGAAAATGAGAAAGGAAAATAGTTGACTGGTCTGAGCTACATGGATAAATCTGTTTGATTTTCCTTCGCTAAGCTACTTGTGAATCAATTGTTGGATTCTCCTCTCAATGCACTAGCCTTTTTTCAAGAATTACTTGTGAACATAAAGAAGAACAATAACAGGGGACATAACCTAATTGTTAGTTTTATCTGTTAAGTGCTAGTTATTGTGAAATGCTTCAGTAAGTTCAAAGATACTCTCTTGTTTTTTCTTGCAGAAGTCATTCCGAGAAATAATTTCCAGCCTGAGTGGTGATAATGCACTTTTAGAGGCGCAGGTATGCAGTTCCAGCGACCAGAATATGTGATGATTTTGCTTGACTGGATTACTTTTCCCATCAAACTGTTATAAACCTGCAGATTTGGTTTTAGCATCAATCATACAATGGATTCTTTGTAAAAAAAGGGAGCCCAGTGCACAAAGCATCCCGTATTCATGCAGGGTCCGGGGAACCGTCGCACCGCAAGGGGTGTGTTGTAGACAACCTACCCTAATGGAAGCATTAGTGGCTGCTTCCACAGTTCGAACCCGTGATCTATAGGTCACACGGAGACAACTTAACCGTTGCTCCAAGGCTCCCCTTCACAATGGATACTTTGTCCATATTGCAATTTTGATTTGAATAGTTTGGCGTTCCAAATTCCAATGATGGGATGTAACTCTATTGATTGATATGAATTGTGATGTTACTTTTCCTGAATTATTAACCTGTGTGTTTTCTTAGACCATATGTATTCTCCTTATACATAAAAGGAATTGGGAGTTGTAGTTGAGCATCTAAAATTTTGATTTAAGCTTTGCTTTTCCAGACGGTGTATCCTGAATTTTGTAATGTTGTCCTTATTATGGTTGTTGATGTGTGACATGGTGGAGCGAAATTGATAATCATTGCCTATTATTTCCTAACATGGAAATTAAAATCAAAGCTTGGCAGGTGAAGGAGTTCGAAGGGTTGAGGACCACTATTGTACAAGAAAATCAGGTACTCAAAGAAAATGTACAAATTCTGCAGACACAAGTCTATAACCTTGAGAAGAGTGCTGCAATACCTTATTCACCAACTGGGAGCAAAATGGTTAGTTGTTAATAATCTCTTTCATATAAACCTGGTCCTATTATTTGTTTCCTTTCATTTGTGGTGTACTGCTGGCAGGTGCTAGACCCCATAGCACCACTCCTTATTCTTCTTCTGCTCCTCCTCTCTAAAAGCACATTTCATGTTCAACATTCCATGTGCTCTTTTTGGTGCTTCATGGATCTCCTGTTATATGTCCTCCATGTATCACTAGAATTGCACACTATATTGCTGCATAAGCTAAGATACTTCTAATTTTGTGGACATGTTCGTTACTAACCTTGGATTTGGCCTTTTTTGTAAAAACGAAGAATTTAATTCGATTTTCTCTCCTATTTACTACGGCGATGAAGAATCAAATTATCACTATATATATATATTCCTTTTTCTACTTCTTCCAAGTGCAGGATAACCCCAAGGGGTAGGTTGTGGTTTTTTTTCTACCAATTGGGTCTCTCCCTTCACCACCCACATGGGGATGGTCTACAGGGTTTATAACTACTCCTCTTACTACAGGACGCTTACCTGCATATATAACTTGACGTTTCATGGTTGGGTCGATAGTTCACTAAGATAAAATACGTAGCTAGAGGAATTTTCCTAGATGTCACTTCTATAATTTAAGATTTAAGAGAGTGCATAAATCAGGGAACTCTTCCCTTCAGATTTGCAGAAATCTTAGCCCATGCAGGGCTAGAAACTTCTTATCAGATTTTTAGAATCTTGATCCTACATGAGTATTATGGAAGTCAAACCTGACCGATTTTTACACACTGTCCACTTGGATGCCAATTGGTATGTGGGGAAGACATTAGCCAATGGGAAAAATCCCTCTTGAGGCTATTCAATGAGTGATAGGAAGTAACACAGTGTTGATTTGGCTGGCCAACCTCATACGGCATGACTCGTAAGGAAGATTGAGATTAAAATGTTGAATTTTTAAATATTTATTAGTAAAGATCATGATTGATTAAACAATAAACATGAGATTGTAGTTTACTTGACAAGTATTAAGTGACCTACTTGACCATTTTCTATTTGATGATAACTCTTAGCATATCCATCATAAACCATTTTTAATGGCACTTAATGTATTTAAGTGATCTTCTCTTTCATGAAACACATTCAGTGTGTACATGCATTCTAATCACATAACATCTCAGTTTGAAATTTAGGGATGTAACCAAAACAAATTTAAATTATGGGTAATGGACAATATATATTAACTATTGATATTAACTAAATTATGGGTAGTGGACAACTATGTACTTACAACACATTGTTGCACATTGACATGTTACCATAACCTATTTTACTTTGTCTTGATGTAGAATACTCTTGAAAATGGGGATCTGAATTCTGAATTAGTAGCTACCCGAGCATTGGTGGACAAATTAGTCAGTGAAAATGCAGAGCTTGTGGAGAAGGTATTAGTAATGAAATTCCGCTTATTATTCTCTTACCTGAAGAGGCTTAGATTATGATATAGTCGTCTGGATTGGTAATTATTATTTTCTTATATTAGTTGAACAAGTTAAATGTGGAGCTCGATCAAAGAGGTCCAGCAATGGAGGTATCTTCACCTTTAGGCTCCGATGTAGTTAGCAGGAGCTCTGGGGCAGCTCATGTTGCCAATGAATCAGCCATTGCGTTAGATATGAGGCCTGGAGCCGTTCAGGAGCATGAAGTGGATCATGATGCAGAGCCAAAATCTAAACCCAATGAAGCAGTGCTGCAGTCAGGTGAAAGGCTGCAATCTGTGGAAGTCGCCATCGACAAAGCTGAGAGGAGAAATCACGAGCATGTGGCTAAGATAGATGGCAGTGTTGTTGTAAATTCATCAGAAATCGAGTCTGATGAAATAGTACAAATCCCATTAGACGAGAATGAAGTTCAGTCAGTAGATTTAGAGGCTGCAAAAGTGAATCAGGATGATGAAGAGGTTCCGCTCACCAATGCACCGTTAATTGGTGCTCCATTCCGTTTGATATCCTTTGTTGCCAGATACGTGAGTGGTGCTGATTTGGTTAATAAGAACTCAGCAACCTCAAACCGATAACCTGTAGCTGTAAGTTTTTACACAGTGAAAAGGAGAAGATGACACCAAGAGTATCCTGTAGCTGGATACTGCCTCTTTTTTCTACCAAGTTTATCCATAGGGCTTATAGTTATAAAAGATTGAAATCTTGAGTTTGACCGTTTTAAAAACACAGCTGAAAGTTTGATGGAAATGTGGATGCTAGAGAGGTGAGAGTTGCAGTTGGCTAATTTAGCCAGATGGATTGTGTATTCATTTATACTTCATTTGGATGTGTTGCACTATCCCTTTAAGCTTCTACTGCATGGGTGGCTTAAAATTTGGGTAAAACTGGGGGAATTCCATAAAAGCAAGCATGCCTTTGTGAAATTGGATTTGTATTGCCAATGAAGTAAACAAACAGTAAAATAAGTTGAATTGTGAAAAGTATTACAGAGCATAGATTATGATCTTTCAAGATTGCCTTAATAGCCCATTGGCTCCTTTCCACTGTTCAAATAATCAAATCAAATGGTAAAATAAGTTTTGGTGGGTAAACTAAACCTAGACATAAAAGTGGGATTGAATTATTCGTTGATTTTACAGAATCAGCCAGATATGGAGAAATGATGTCTAAAAAGTCGGAATTATACTTAAAAGAAAAAGATAAAATTTGCAATTTTGGTAATAGAATAGAGTATGACAAATGCATGAGGAATCATGGTGTTGGACTAGTTGGGCTCCTAGACTTGTTATCTTCAGATGATGGCCTGTTTCCAGAATCTGATTGCTGAATATCCTCAATCATCTGGACAACTTGGTTCATGTCAGGTCTTGTTTCTGGCACTTTTGCCACACAGGCCATTGCAATCTGCAGCATCTGCACCATCTCGTCTTGAATATTTTGAAACTTGATGAGCTCAGCATCAAATACCTCAGCTGTCCATNAATCTGATTGCTGAATATCCTCAATCATCTGGACAACTTGGTTCATGTCAGGTCTTGTTTCTGGCACTTTTGCTACACAGGTCATTGCAATCTGCAGCATCTGCACCATCTCGTCTTCGATATTTTGAAACTTGATGAGCTCAGCATCAAACACCTCAGCTGTCCACTCCTCCCTGACAACAGACTGCACCCATCTCGGTAAATCTACCACCTCATCATGACCAGGTGGCTGCACTGGTGCTTTGCCAGTAAGGAGTTCAAGAAGCAGAACGCCAAAGCTGTAAACATCGGATTTCTGAGTACATTTCCTTGTCTCGATCACCTCGGGTGCTCTATATCCTGCACTCCTAGATGGGATTGTAGGAGAGCCCATTAGAGGAGTAAGACCAACATCTGAGATGCATCCACTATTGTCATGGGTGAGAAGTACATTGGATGACCTGATATTGCCATGAATTAATTTCCCACCAGCAACAGAATGGATATGGGCAATGCCACTTGCAGCTCCATGCGCAATCCTTAACCTGGATTCCCAGTCCAGTGTCCTTCCCAACTCCCTGTTGCCTATAATCATAAACAAGAAAACACTCTCTTGTATAAACAGTTAGATTGATAATTTCGACAACTTTTAAGTTTCTGATTTGCAAGAACATATCTCACACTCTGAATATATGATTTCATGAAAGTTTTAGCTCAGTTGACTTTCTGGTCCAAGGTTAGTACCTGAATGGGTATGACAGCTTAAAGAGTGGGAGGATAAAAGGGAAAGAGAAGGAACTTTACCATGCATTCGAGTGGATAAACTGCCCCCTGGTACATGATCATAGATAAGAAGTTTTTCATCCTTTGAAAAGTAATAAGCACGAAGAGCAACAACATTTCCATGCTGAGCAACGGTGCCAATTATCTCCATCTGTTGTTCAAATTCTCTTTTCCCAACAACAACTTCCTTCAGCCGTTTAACAACGACAGTCGTTCCCTCCTCCAATATGGCCTTGTAGGTTGTTCCATAACTCCCTTTACCCAAAACCTCAGCTGAGGCTCTCAACAAATCTTCAAGATCGAAATTGAAGGAACAGCCCCCAAAGAAAACCAATTTGTTCTTTTCAGCAGCTTGTACTCCACTACTGAAGTCCTCTGTTTGCTTCGGACTTCCTCCTCCATTAAAGTCTTTTCTTTCCTGAACACCTCTCGTAGTATAATATTGCTTCATACAACACAAGAAAATCAACACAGCTAGACCGAGAATCCCTCCAATACCCCCTGCAACAATGCCAATGATAACCCCTGTGCTTAAGCTCTTCTTGCCTTTTAGCTTTTCAGGAATTGTTGGAGAGGATGGCAGGACACGAGATGGTGGAATTGGACTCAAAGGTGGAAGTGAAGGGAATGGAGAAGGTGAAGGTGCAAAAGAAGGGCATCGAGTCAAGGGTGGTCCACATAATAGAGAATTTCCTTGAAATGAAGAAGCAGGAAACTTTGCAAGGGATCGTGGAATTGAACCATTGAGTTGGTTGTTGCTCATATTCAATTGCCTAAGCCTTGGCAGGTTTACATTAGGAATGGATCCTGTGAGCAAGTTGTTTTGTAGGTTTAAACCAGTAAGACTTGTCAAATTTTGAACTGTTGTTGGAATTTCTCCTGAGAAGGAGTTGAAAGACAGATCAATGAAGTTGAGCTGTGAAGATAGAGAGGAAGGGATCTCACCAGAAAGTTGGTTTTCTTGGAGAAATATGAAACGGAGGGAAGGAAGAGAGGTGATGTCTGAAGGAAGATTTCCCTTGAGCCTATTGGAATGAAGGCTGAGGGTTGTTAGTGCATCCAGTCTTCCTATGGTATTTTCCGGAATAGGACCATAGAGTCCAATAGCAGGAAGCCGAAGTGCAACAACACGAGTTTCATCTGAGTTGCAACTGGCACCATGCCACGTGCAAATGGAAGAGTTAGTGTTCCACGTGAACTTTCTAAGATGAGGTACTGCAGAAGCAAAGTCAAGTAGTGCTTGTCTATCTGAGCTTAGGTCCGCAATAACTTTCGGGGAGAGGAGCAAAAATGGAAACAGGGAAAGAGCAAGCAGAGCTAGTAGCTTCATCATTTTAATAATTTGGAATGAATATGATTTCCAATTTGCTCCCAAGTCAACTCAAGTCTCCATATTGAGTATCATCCATTTGCATCACCTAGCAACGACAGTACCACTGTGAAACAAAGTAAGAAGGAAATTAAATACACGCACACAATACTGTTGCAGTATGAAATGAGCAGCCAATTCTCATGGTCAATCAAACAAATCAGTAGAGTAAAGGATCTATTTTGTATTATTTTCTCTTCCTAGGTATTTGAATTGATTTTGCTTCATTCTCCGTGAGACTCAGGAAGAAAAAATAGTTTATGCCTCCTAAAGACAACTTAAACCAGACGAAAACTGAAGCTCTCTTTTCCTTTCTTATTTTATAACTTTCTCATGTCTCTAGAGAGTTAAGAGTTTCTAACACTTACATAGTCCTCTACCAGTTAAAATCTGCTTAATTCACTTGCTTTTCTGTTTCACCTGAATCTGTCTACTCTTCCAAACTAGCAGTATGTCCAAGAGAGTAGCATCCTCAACGGACAGAGACAGAGAGGATCAACCACACTGCTAAAGTGCAGCTGCAATGCCAATTGAGGAGCTATGCTATTGAGTCGACAGGTTTTCACACTTTTGGCCTTCTCATATAATAAACTAAACATAAGAACTGAAGGAAATAACTTAGCACTAGCACCATCACTAGTTTCAAAACCTAAATTTCCAGCATATCAAACAAGTCCTAGAAAGCCTACAACTACAACAACTACTACGCTTCAGCATCAAACAAGTTGGGGTCAGCTATATGAATCCTCACTTCTCCATTATAAGCTCAACTCATATCATAACAAAGTACGCGCCCACAAAAACTGTTGATGAATATTCACTTAAACGGTTAAGGCCTCCTTTAGAAACAAACATATTAGAATTTTGAAAGTCAATGGCCCCATGAACCACTTAGATGCATCAACCTCCCTAATGCACTAAATTGAGTTGCCTGGAGAAAAGGAGATAAGGCCATTTTGCTGAGATCATTAGCCTTTTAGAGGAAAGCCCATGTCCAGATTCTTGAAAAAATTTGTTCTTTCTGTGAATTTACCACCCTCTACTTCCTAATTTCAACTCTCAATTATGGCATTAGAAAAAGAAACTAGTCCATGATTGGTTTAAATATCTTATGTTCAGAATTGGTTGCCATAGTTTATACAAGTGTACTATAACATAATTGATACAAATGTAAAGCTTTGACAAATGTAGAAAGAGTCCAATTGCATTAATACACCAAATGCAAAGGGAAGGAGAAAGATAAAGCAAGAGTATACCTCAATTCTTGAAAAATGGTAACTTTCACAGTGGAAGCTTCAAAATCCCATATGAAATCTGAAGCTGGGAACTGCAGTGAATAAAATGGGGGAGTTTACTAACGGTTGAGAATTTAAAAAAGCAAGAAAAGGCAGAATCTTGTGCCTTACAATTCTCCTCTAAACTTCCTACTCCAACGGCATTTTGTTTACTTTTCACCCTTTGAAAGAAAAAGAAGACTATTATTCTCTTAGGCAAGAAAGAGCCAAATTCTGTTTCTTGAAACACCTTTTCTTTTTTCCCCTATGCAGCAGCTGGTAGGAAAATTGTAGTAAGAAAAGAAAAGCCTTTTCAGCTTGTTCGTGAAGCAAACGGAATCTCTTTCACAGATCTCGATATTTTCCAACTACTTCTTGCTTTCTTCACAAAACAATATTGAAATGTAGTAGTAAACATTTTCTTTCTGCCATTTTGTAAGATTATTATTATTATTATTATTATTATTATTATTATAAGAATAAGATCCAGTTGGAAACATTTTCACTCATATTTTGGCAACCCTGGAACTTGGTTTTGGTTTTCTATGTTGGTGCACTATATATTTGATAATAGTGTAATTTAAAGAAACAAAAAGGAAGTGCTCTTTTTGACCTTAATTTAAAATTTGGTCGTTCAAATATATTCACCTAAAAATTTCGGCAATAAAAGTTCATGTACGTACTAGTTTAAGACATCACTAAGATTGAGAGGGTCACTAAACATGGTCTAAGTTTTCATTCATTGAAGTCGTTTTTTGTGGTCCTTACGTGACTCAAACTTCTAATTTATATGATAAAATAGACCTTTATCACTAGAACAAGCAGTCTTTGGGATGTGTAGTTTCTTGTTTCGACCAAAATAAAACATGTTTAGAGAAAGGGAGGATTATGCAAATAAAATGAAGACCCCAAAATCGTACTAATTACTAATGTAGTAGTTAGTCCTCCAATTGTTTTGTCTTTTTTGA